GTGTAAACTTTGAGAACAATGACATGATGTAAAAAATGTAAGCTTGATATATTGATGTATGATGTTTGGGTTTGCTATGTTTCATTTATATACAATTGTTATGATACTGCACAATGACGTCACCCACCTCCGGACGTTTCCGCCGTTCTGGTCCGGGTGTGTGACAGATTGGTATCAGAGCATTGTTTATAGTGAACTAGTATATCTAGCCATACGAGATATACAACTATAAATGAGTTTTTTACCAAAAGGTAGCATGTAAGAAAAGTATTTACCATAATAGGGTACTTTTAAATTTAATTACCATTTAATTGTATATTTTATTTTATTTTTAAATAAAACACAGAAATCATTTTTAATTGTTTTTTGTCGTTCGTTTTTCTTGAAAACTATCAGCAATCCTTACCACCACCGTAAACTACTAAACTCCACTCCCTTTAGGCCATGGGTGCCTACACATGGATGTTATCTTAAAAGCCTTTGCCATGCTTTAACGATTGAATTATGAGTATGATGGGTTAACTAATTGGAGCAAACTTTCTAAGATCCTGATAATTAAGATGATGAAGTTCATACATGTCTTCTGGTTTTCTGTTTTCTTCCTTATAAGCACCACTAGTAATGGCTAGTCTACCCGATGTGGAGTGTTGGAGAACACCCATCACACAACCGCTACCTGCCACCGTCAACTTTAAAACAATGAGGCTGACCATCTACCTCCAACACGCCACCAACGATTCCGTTCATACCCCTCGGTACAGTTGGTGAAACACGCCTCCCCCTCCACATTCCTATTTATATCACACTGTTGAACGACCAATGTTTGAAACAATACGAGAAGTGTTTGGAATATTATCGATGAACGTTGTGCATCTCCAACATCACACTTCGGATTTCCAAATTGATTTTGGTTGCTTTCATATTCCGGTGAGCAAATTCAAAGCAAATAATATGTTAGTGTATTCAAATCGATTTTGGTTGTTTTTATTTTCGAGCTGGTAGTGTTTCTTCTTATTTTCTGGTGAGCAAGCAAACAAAAGAAGAATTTTTTTTTCAATGTTTTGGGTTATTTTGCTTTTATCATTTTCCGGCGACAAACCAAACAAAGAGGAGGCAGCGACGAGGCCTTTTAGGCACAACCCATAAAAGTCTAATTATTATTCTTTTATGTTCGGTGTAAAGAGATGGAATCGACAGTTAAATTAAATTTTACTATGATTTGGTAAATAAATCTAAAAGTACTATGGATATGTAAATATTTTTTAAAAACACAATGCCCTTGTACAAAACTCACTATAAATACAATGGGACTAAAACACTCGGACTAAAAGTATACATACTTGCTAGGATTATATCATAACAATAACAGACAAGATAACTAAAGGTTGAACACTACAGTTAAACCTGGGCAGTTATGTAATCATATCTGAGATAAATATAGCCTGATCAACTATACTTATTTGAGATATGACCAACATGTGTTTGTGAGTGATAGTAGTGTTGCGACAAGCCTAAAGTCTCTCTACTCGTTACCCTCAAAAGTCTTAAGAACCAACCCTAACATAAGTAAAATACTATAGGAGTATTTTGGTATTCTATCTATTTTCTCGTACTCACTTATTCTTGCACAGACGACATGGCAGGCTTTCACCACCCTGGAGACCCCTACTTCCCCAATCAGGGGAATGGAGGTTGGATTGAGGAAGACCCAGAAGAAGACCCCGAGGAACCCATGGAGGATCCCGAAGAACCAATAGAGTTTGAGGAAGAGGACATCGATGAAGAAGTCGAGGAAGATGAAGAGGACGAGGAATCAGACGCTAAGTCTGAAGTTATCAACCCTCCCTACATGGCAAGAGTACCACGTTATAGGATGGGCTACAATGGACCTACACCTCCTTGGACTGACGATATCGAGAGATGGGGCCGACGCCAAGGTCAGCAACCACCATTTGGGATGAACCGAGGTTACTACGATCTTCGGCATGGAGGGCCAGCAGATCGCGCACTCCCTGTCATAGTCAGGCGTATTAGAGACATTGGCGCCCAGGCTCAAATGACCGCTGACCTAGCAATGCAAATGTGGGCGGCTATGCAGATCACAGATACTCGCACACGAGACCTAGAGCGAGACTTTTATCCGATGGTACGACTCATGGAAGACCTTGCCGCTGCACGAGCGGAAGTTAGAGAATACCAGGAGTGACACGCCGCTTTGGAGGAGCGCATACGAATCACCGAACGTAGGTTAGCTGAGCTCCAGGACGCGTCTACCTCATCGTCTGCACCACAAGAACCGACTCGTCGCGAGTAGTGCATGTTCACTCGCTACCGTATCGATTTCCCTCTATGCACTACCCTATGTACTTTCGTGTTAGCTTTATTTCACTGTGTGATTGTATGCCGTTATAAGGCAAAATTTTCATGTACTCAAGAAATTATTATCAATGAAAAGCGGATATGTATTTTCTTATGACGTGTTGCCATTGTGTGCTTTATTGCTACTATTACATGTTGATTTTATACACACACTTATTAATATACAACCCAACAACCAATACTATTTTATGATCAAGAAATCATGGAACAAAATACATCGGAAACTCATTGTCCTTCTGATTCATGACAGAAAGATGCCTAGGAGACCGCCCCGAAGAAACGACAGCCCATCACCACCACCACCGCGACCCCCGCCGGAAATGAACTCTGCGGCTTTTCAAGCGGAAGTTTCAGCAGTAGTAGCAGCAGCGTTAGCCCACATTCAAAATGGGAATAATGGTGGTAATGGTCAAGGGATGGGAAGCTCTCACCAAGGGATGAATCAAGGGCATGTAAAGGCCTGTACCTACAAGGACTTTTCCAATGCAAAACCACGTACTTTCAACAGGACTGGAGGAGTTATAGCTTTGAAACGATGGATCGAGAAGGTAGATTCAGTGTTCGAGATATGCGAATGTCCGGAAGGGAGTAAAGTTGTCACACCCCAAAACCAAGAACGGCGGAAACGTTCTAGGGCGGAGGACGTCATGTAAAGTATCACAACAATACAAAGTAGTAAACAAGCAACAACATCATCCATTGCATTAATAGTATAATTTTAAATACATGTGTGTTCTTTCTTGTATAAAACAACATAATGAATAATCAAAATAAAAGACGAGTCTTGACTGCTCCGTCTTCACAAAACCTGGTCGTCGTACCTGTCTATTTGTGACCTGAGAATATAAGTTATTTTGAAAGCGAGTATCAGCTTTAAAGCTGGTGAATTCATAAGTATTTATGTGTCTTTGATTTGTAAAGCTGTAAGGAAAAGACATGTAAATGTTTGGAGAAACGTTTGTATAGGTATGAAACTGTTTGTAAGTAATTGTAAATGTTTTGAAAAGCCTAAAAAATCCCATATTTCCTACTAGTATAAAGAGTAGTCCTCTACCAGGACCCAACTATTTTGAAAATACGCATCACTGCCAACGTGACGGTTTTTCCCTTGTATAACTATCATTATTACAATACTATAGTCTACCTCGTCGTTTATGTGTACGTGTCACAGGTTAAAGGTAATAAAAGAAATAATATATATTCATATTAATTGTATCCTTTTGTGATTTGTCGTTTGTAGAATGTAAGTACTGTAGTATTATATAAAGGGACTACTATTGTACTAATTGCCTTAACTTGAGTATTAAGGTATAATGTGATGGCTAGATCCCATACTAAACGCTCTCCCTGTCGAAAGATTCTGGGAACTAAACGCGACCTCTGCAATGACTGCAAGCCGTGAACATCCACATTAAGATTATATGATCATGTATACCCAACATAACTATCACCTTTTGTTTAGAACAATGCATTAGTGATTCATTGGTATAGATAGATCTTGTAATTGTTCCATGCTATAGCACCTTGTTATGTTTGTTCTGTTATCGTGCATTGTATCTTTCTCTATGTTATCGTGTATTGTATCTTTCTCTATGTTATCGTGTATTGTATCTTTCAGTATAGTAAGTAATGTATTAGTATAGACTCATGAATGAACTGACTCTTGGTGTGATTCTTTGTACTTGGAATAGTAAGAAATATCTCCTAACTATACCTATTATAGTTACTAGTAATGTACGTGTATAACCGAAAGTATGCCTTTGCTACCCAAAGGTACTGGACTGACTGATAGAACTTTTATGTCCACATAAGTATACATAATATATAACTAATATTTAAACGACATTCGAACGGATAGCCGATACCCTAAAGCCACATCCCAACGAGGAAAAGGAATTAAGGCGAGCTAGCCCTCCTAAGTCCATTAAACATTACTTATATAACTATACATATGTAGGCATGCATTTGACAATATAAAAGTATAAAAGAAGTTTTGTAAAGCTTTTGAAAAGTTTAATAACTAAGAAATGATGACTTGACGTCAGTTTGTAAAATGATTTGTAAGTAGTTTGTTTGATAAGAACAGTTTAAGTATAAGTAAAACCTTTGTTTGAAATACAATAGTAACAGAGTTTGAAAGAAAACATATAGTATGTAATACAGTTTAATAAAGAGTTTTGACATGTAAAAACGTTTGAGAAAGTCATTTGAAACAAACTGTTTGGTAAAACAGCTAAAAGTGTAGTAAATCTATGGGCTAATGTCATTTTAACCCATTAAACTTGTCAATTTTGTTTTAAAAGGTCACCGAATTGTTTTTTTGTTACATAATGGTAAGAAAGTGAAGTATTACCGATTTAAAGTGTCATTTAACCCTTTACATTAGGTTACCAGTGATGTGGACTTACACGTAGATACCACAGTCCAAATGGAAGCTGAAGTGTATTAACTGTACAACCCTTGGGGAGCAAGGATTATTACCTGGCATTGTGGTCCCCTTATATAATAAAGAGTATTCCCCTTTTAGGTTAAACATCTTCACTTTCTTACCCTTACAGATCATCCGTTAAAAGGCTTTTTCTTCCTTCCCCCCTTTATAACTTCCATCACTACCAACGACCATGGATTCAGCAGGTAGTTTTTCGTACGGAGGATTCCACGCGTCGGACCTAGACATACCCACTGAAAACGAGCTCTTAGCTATGGAGATGCAGGTCGAAATCGAAACCATGAGGAACGAATTCACGGCGGAGCTCGCTGAAGTGAAGCACCAAATGGCAGTGATGCAGAAGAGGTTTGCTGTCAGCTTGTGGATTTTGATTGTTGGAGTGGGTGGTGTATTGAGCTGGGTTTATCGATCGTCGAAGTAGTAATGGATCAGAACCACCGAAATCGTTTTGTGGATGTCGTATTAGATAGTAATGTTATTTATTTGGGTTTTTCTGGATTTCGGTGGTAATGGTCTTAGTGGGTTTAATATATGTATTGTTGGGTAGTTTTCGTCTTTATGATGACTTAATTTGGGGTTTTTATTGATTTCGTATGGTTAGCCATGTAATGGTTTTTTGGGGGGGGGTATCGATTAGTCGATTACCTTGATTTTTGTTCACGGCTCAATTAGTGTACCCAGATAATGGTTTGTGTTGTTAATGAAAAATGAAATTCCGTATTATGTTTTGGGCCTCTTTTTTCCATATTTTTCAAAGATAGTTCATGTGTTGTATATTGGTGTATTATGTGTTGTATATTGGTGTATTTGAAGTTGAATTGGAGTTCTAACATGGAGGATGATGCATATACACAAAATAACAACTTACTTTATGAATCACAAAATAGCACAGAAAGGGCAAACTGTTGGTGTATTTGAAGTTGAATTGGAGTTCTAATTAGAAGGTGCTACAAATACCACAGAAAGAGCAAAGGGATTGTTGATGCTTCAAATTGTTGATGCTTCAAATGAATCACAAAATAACAACTTACTTTATTGAGAGAAATGTTTTCATAATATCAGATTTCGACACTACAAAATAAATCACAAAATAACAACTTACTTTATTGAATCCATGAAATCCAAAAATGAAAACTAAGTGTAGCTATTTGAAAACCACTTTATTACATGTTTTGCTTCAGGTAATATTTTTTGATGCTTCAAATGAAAATGACTCTTTTGCCCTTCTTGTGTATTTTTTGAACTTGAATTTCAGATTATCATGTTAGAAGGTGCAAATTGTTGATGCTTCAAATTAAAATGACTCTTATGCCCTTCTTGTTTTGATTCAAATTGTTGATGCTTCAAATTAAAATGACTCTTATGCCCTTCTTGTGTACTTTTTGAACTTGAATAATGATCATACACTAAGCAATGTTAGAAGGTTCATGCTACCACAGAAATGATCATGCTACCACAGAAATGATCAAGCTCATGATAAATTCATCACAAACACATCTTATTTAAAAGTTCATGGCTTAAGTTGTTGAAATTGTTTTTGAAGCAAACACAAGTTAACAAATGTTTACAAACCAACACAACTTTGCATAATTCTCTATTATTGTACCTTCAACTAGAGCCACTGCATGTTGTCTTGCTCTTCTACACTGTCCCATACTAACCTCAATACCAAATTTATTTTTCACTTCTTCTTTTAGCATTCTAACATTGAGTTTCTCATTTTCAAGAACTTCCCTTGTGAAATGACTACCAATCCATCTATAATTTACTATTGACCCTAACTTAAAATTCCTGGCACAATTATGCTCATTAATTAGGGACTTGATTTGGAATGACTGCTCATCACGCATCCATGATGCCCATAGCCTAAAAGTGCATCCACCATCACAACACTTAACCAGTATTCTTTTACTATCATTTTTTTCATAATACAATTGAAACCCATTGGCTACAGCATAATTACAAAGCATAAATTTCAATTGTTTAGGATTGGTAAACCTCGTACCTAGAATTGGCAACTGCTTCTTCCAAGGCATGTCTTCATTGAACCTTGGTTGATCTTTCACATCTGGGACATTGTCATCTTCAACATCCTTTGGGCTTTCAACTTCTGTTGCATCCTCATTTGCATCTTCTTGACTGATTCCATCATACATTACTCCTTCCATGTTGCTCTTTTGTGGAGTCATGAAGTCAGTTGGAGTTAGGCCATTCCCATTTTTGATTTCCATTGACACATTAGACATGACAGAACAATTGTCTTCCTCTTCTGTTTTTTTACTTACTTCATCACAAAATGGCTGCAGATGAGTACCAAAATGGTCCATGTACACAGGCACTTGTACTCCACACCTATACACAATGTCTATGAACTCATGATATTCAAGTTCATTAGAAATCAGTGTTAAACCTGCTGGGATTTCTAAATCCGGCTGACAATAGTAAACTTTCTCACACTTCTCTTGTGTGAATCGTTCAAGAAAACCGATAAACTCCTTGTGAGTCATACCAGCAAAATCGATATCGTCAAATACATGATGAATACCATCTGAGTAGCAAAAAGGTTTGTTGATGAACACACCTTGGAAATGAAGTTTGATTGAGATGAACTCAGCCATCGACAACGATTTTGGTGGAAAGCGGAAACAAGGGTTTTTCGGGATTAGCAAACAGTTCAACGGAAAAAAAGAAGGAAATACCCACCAGCTTATTTAAAAGATTACAATAACATACGTGGCCATTATATTTAATGACATGGCACCAAATATACCTCTTCTCCCGATAACAGGTAATTAAATGACACTTTAAAACGTTAATACTTCACTTTCTTACCATTATGTAACAAAAAAACAATTCGGTGACCTTTTAAAACAAAATTGACAAGTTTAATGGATTAAAATGACATTAGCTCTAAATCTATATGTATACTAGTTATTAATCACATGTGATTGATATGATAACTAGCATGGTTCAACTTGTATTCCCCCCTCCCCCATAAAAGCATTTATAAACATTTAAACACATCTAAAAGGTTAATTAAGGGGGTATGAACTCACCTGCAGTGAGTGGATCGGATGGAAGTGTCAGACAAGTGCTTGGTGTCGAGTGAAGACTTAAACACACAATGATCCTAATAACATATAAAGACATATGTATATATACAATTAGTGATTTAAACACTAATTAGACAAGTATAAACATCCTAATGTGAGGAAAACACTTTTGTCCAAGTGTTAGGAGGCTATTGGGTTGCAACAAGGGAGTGCAAGACATTGTAAGTGAGTTTATGGTCAATGGACCATTCTTATTGGAGTTTACGGCCCAGGGGAGTTTACTCCTGGCCGTAAACTCTCAAATGGGTCACCAAATGTGGCTTAAGGCTATTATGTCTTAAGTGTTTAAGTGTTCCAAGGCTTAAACAAGAGACTAGGTGGGTTTAAGGTCCAAGAATGACCCTTACATGAGTTTACGGCCTGGGAACCACTTCCCCATGAGTTTAAGGTCGTAAACTCATGGTATGAAGTACCAATTCGTTGATTGAGGTCCCTAGTTCAATGGTGTATGGTTCTAGTCTAAGTTCTGGTCATTAGGAAGGAGAAAAGGGCATCATTGCACCCTTATAGGGAGTTTACGGCCTTGGGAGATCTTGGGCCGTAAACTCTCATTCAACCTTCAAAATTTGGTGTCTAATGTTCTTAATACATCAAGGAGGTGATCTAGGTTAGTGTCCAAGGCCAAAGGAGGGACTAGGGTGCATTTTGCCCCATTTATAAGGGTTTACGGCCCAAGAACATGTCTTGGCCGTAAACACCTTTGATCTTGTGTTTCTTTGGTGTTTTCTTGATGTTTTAGAAGTGTAACAAGCCTTAAGATACTCTAGGGTAGGAGTACTTACAAGTTAGAAGCCTGAAAAGGTGCTAAAAGTCCAATAACACTAGTGTGTGTTCTTGGTGAAACTTGAAGATCTACACTTTTGGAATGATTTCACGGATGAAATCATGTTAGATCACTAGATTAAGGTAGATATCAACTTATTAGGGTAAGAAACACTTACAAAGTTGAAGATCTTGAAGAAAAGTCGGATGATACTTGAGAGGATTTGATATTTTGGATCTTGAAAATGTGAAAAGTGGTAAATAATGACTAAGTGTCATATTTATACCCCCATTTAGCGTTTACGGCCCTAAACACTTTTGTTTAGGCCGTAAACTCCAAACTCTAGGAGTTTTGGGATTTTATTGTTGCACAATAAACCCTAGGGCATCCTCTCTCCTGATATCTCCTAAAGTATTATCTTTAAAACACTCAAACTTATTCCAAAAAGCTTGAAAGTTAGCAAAAACTGATTTGACCTTTATTGAAGTGAATGATTGTACAGGATAGAAATTTCGGGTTGTCACATCATTCCCCTGTTAGAAGGAATTTCGTCCCGAAATTAGAATTTAAGCAAATAAGTAGTTACAAATAACTAAGTAAAGAGACGAGGATATTTCAGTTTCTTCTGATCCTCTCGTTCCCCAAATGAATTCAGGTCCTCGCTTGGCGTTCCAGCGAACCTTCACTATCGGGATACGGCTTTGTTTCATTTTCTTGACCTCTTGGCCCATGATCTCTACAGGTTCTTCCACGAAATTGAGGGTCTCGTTGATCTCGATCTCGTCGAGTGGGATTACAAGAGTCTCGTCGGATAGACACTTTTTCAAGTTCTAGACGTGGAGGGTAATGTGTACGTTACTGAGTTCGCAGGGTAGGTTGGATTTGTGAGTTTTAGGGCCGATTCTGGCAAGAATCTTGGAGGTCCTAACTATCTTGGATTTAGCTTTCCACGCTTTCCGAAGCATATCAAGCCTTCCCAGGGTGAGATTTTTCCAAAAGAATTTGGTCTCTCACTTGGAATTCCAAAGGTTTCTTCCTCTTGCTTCTCTTCCCAATTAAGGGCCACTCCCTTCTGGCTCAAAGCCGTAAGAGGTTCCGTAATTCGCGAGGAGTTCTGAAATGAATTTACGACAGTAGTCAGCGAGACCCAAAATTTTGGCGAATTTCGTATGCGTCTTCGGTGCTGACTAATTCTCAACGGTTTTGACTTTTTGGAAGGGTCCTCAGGAATTCCCACATCACTAACAACGTGTCTTAGGAATCCGACTCTTCAATTCCAAAACTCATATTTAGAGAACTTTGTGTAGAGCTTTTCTGATTGAAATGTTTCCATGGTTTGTTGTAGATGCTTCTTATGGTTTCCTTCTTACTACGAGAGTAGATAAGTAAGTCATTTACAAGGACAATGACGAACTGATCCAAGTAAGAATAGCGTACCCTATTCATTAAGTTTATGAATACTACGGGTGCATTGGTCTTATCCGAGGAGTATCACTACGGACTCGTAGCGTCCGCATCGAGTTTGAGAGATTGTCCTCGTGACAT